TAAAAGAATCTATATTCACTGCTGCGCGAAATTAGACACGGTATCAATTACAAATCGATAAAAAAAATGCTCGTCGCGCTTTTTTATCGCTCCCCACTACGCCAACTACGTTTTTAACGAACGAGAACGAAACATTACGCTACGGCAGTTCGAGGTAGCGCATTGTTGGAAATAAATACATTTGAGCCCCGTTGTTTGCAACGGGAGGGGGGGAAAAAGGGCCGACACGGACGCGTTATATCGAGTAATCCCGCGCGAAGATGAAATCGTATTTCGTAACTATTTAGTTTTAGAGCGAAACAAAAATTACGTCATGTTACTCCGAAAAATTGAATGCCTGTAATAACGTATTGTATGGCGCTGTTAAATCCAATCTGTGTTCTGTCTCTTTTTCGATAGCATTTGACCGTGCATCTTCGTCTACGCGATTATTTTTTTGCGAGATGAACGAGAGAGAGCAACGTGATTTTGAGACGTGTGCGTCTATCTATTATCTCTTCGAGATATCATTATCTAATAATACATATTTGTAGGAAATCTAGAATATGTAACGCTAGCTCATGACCTGATTTACAACATATAGGTGCTTAGATTAGATAGACAAGCGGTCGTTGGTCCTACCTGCTTGTCCTGGCTTAAGTTAGTTACGAAAACATTCAGGGCTAGTTTCACAAACATCGGTTAATTGCTAACCGAGGGTCAATTGATTCTCTGTCTCTTGTTAAATAATAAGATGGAAAAGGATAGGGAGCCGACTGAACCCTAGTTATCAGTTAACCGATGTTTGTGAAACTGGCCCTTAGAGATAGGGAAGACGGACGACGAGCGATTTCTGACGGTCAAAAGATCGCGAGAGACGTAGTCGAGACTCCGAGCGATAAAGACGTGCAATTGTGCGATCGGGGAAATATACCTCGGGGACGATTGTGAACCTGTTCTCGGTCTTTGTTAATACATGTGAGCAATTTAATATACCCGAGGGGGAAACCGCTGACCAAAATCTTGCACACCAATGCCCACTAATGCCCAGTGGGCATTGCTTTATCTTATTAGCTTATTTTATTTTATCTTTGCAATGCCCAAACCAATGCCCAAAAAATGCCGCAGATCTGTACGCCACAATGCCCTCAGCGGTTTCACCCTCGAATATACCCCTAGACGTGTGATTTATTTTCAAATCCGCAACCCACATCCTAGATATTTATTATTCATCCGCGGAATAAATCCTAACGTTTTCACACTCTCTGCAAAAGTTTCCTAAAATGCCTGCGATATACCGCCGACTCTCTTGACCCCAAGAAACGAGATAAGATAAAGTCAAGTAATATCCGCGAATATAACTTGAGATCGGAGAATGCGATCAGGTTTTAAAACATGTGGCATTCGAAACGATAATCACCGAGCAACAGTCGTCTCGTCGTGACGTTGAAGCATGGAAACGCTTACGGATCACATTTATAGTCATTAGTGGCTTCTTGTGCGATGCAGAGTCACGGGCGGCAGGAAGAGGGAGAGTGGGGGCCGCTGGTACAATCTTCCTTCATTTCGCAGCCCGTAATTCTTGCAGTTAACATGACAATAGATCCTCTCTTATCGGGCGCATACCGGTGGAACGGGAACAGGGCCTGCCGCGGGGAGAAAAGCCGAGCGTGCGGCGAAATCGATGCAAACGCGCGGACGACTCGCTTGGCTGGCACGGCCAGACCGAACTTGCGCCCGCGTTCTCTCCGTCCAACCCGCGGAAATTAATCTAGCTTTTGCCGGGAGATACCCATCCGCGCCGAGGGAGGAGCGATAAGACGCTGGAAACGGCGATAGCCACTCTCCTTTATTTCCCAGTCGAAAAATGAGCCTTTATTTCATCGGCGAAATGCGAAGGGAGCAGCGTTTCTGGCACCTAAACGGCGCGAGAAACGAGACGGACTCCGGCTCGTAGAAGAGAGAGAAAGAGACTTGGGCAACCGCGGCGAGGCAGTCGAGGTCCGGTGTACGTAATGCAATGGTTTATTGCTAATATTTCTTCGGGGTAATATCGGCGCTCCAGAGACTGCCTGGCTTTCTCTTATATACCGCGGAAACTTACCAACGTCTCCGATTCGAATCCTAATCTTTCCGCGCGCGGAGAATCGCGCGAACGGTATCTCTGCTCGAAAATGCCATGAGATCTCTTCCGCGGTAAAAACCGTCGAGATTAAACAGACACGCTTGACGATTACATTCGCACGCGGCGGGGTCTCATTTCTTAACGGATTAATTTAAGCGAGTGTGTCAAGAGAGACGTCACGCGTACCAGTCTGTAACGAAGATTTAAATACGCGGAAGTCGGTTGCTCCGATAGGGATTCAGCTCGGTTTCTCGGACCTGCGGTGCCGAATCAAATTGACGACTCGAATTCTTGCCGAAGCAGAATGGCTTCGAATCCGCGCGAGAGGGACCGCGTACGTATCGGCTGACTGCTGGCACCTCTTCTGGGAGCACCTTTGTGCAAACGCTATGGCGCATACTCGCGCGCCCGTCGCTCCATTCATTCGGAGCGATTAAACGTAACGAGCGCCATTATTGAGGAAGAACGTGCGAGGAACAGAGAAGGCAAAGAAACGACCAAAGTTCGACGGACAACGCGGCCTTTCAGGCCACTACCCGCGACATTAATAGCCTCCAGAATTAAATGTAGCTCGGACCCGCTTGTCGCGACTCGCGCGCACCAATTGCGCGCGGAGTTAACGCGCGTACGCGCGTGCTGTGTGCTTCTCTATCCGAAAACGAATCGACCGTGAACGCGCCACGAAAATATTCGGATGGCATAAGCCGCTCCCTCGTGTGGACGTTATCTTTCTGCCACTCGTTATCTAATCGCGCGTCCGACGTATGCGCGTGCGTGTATTCGTGACCGAGTCGCTGAAAACGAGCGATACCGCGCGTAAAGCGCGAAAATTAACAAGTATACCCGCGAAACCGAGTCGGCCACGTGCTATTAATACGCGTAATGATAATTGGATTATCCGACAGATTTGGGGCAGATCTCACCTGGCGGTAAACCCAATTCTAAACCTAAAACTGGACTTTTCCTTTTTAAAATAATTTAGCAGAATTTTCGCAATCAGCAGAGACGAGGTAGTGCTCTAAATAATTAATAGAGTAGAAATAATAAAAATAATTCGGGCGATCTCGTAACGCCGGCCAAGAAAGACCGAAATACCGTTGTGATAATTTAAAATTATCGTTTGGTTATTATTTCTCAGGCGATGACGACGACCGATGTCAATTTGCGTGCGCAAATTTTTATGCATACTGGAACGCTAATGCCATATTTAAATGAGCAATTACGAGTGTTTTTTTTTTTCACCATTCTAAAGAGGGTTTTTGGGACCATCATAAAATGTACGCAGGTTCATTTAACGCGCGATTTTTCTGGCAGCGTAAAATGTTTAATGCAAATTTTCGCATTAAACTTTTCATTGGGGCTAAAATTTTAACGCCGCGCGACGATAATATTAGCCCCGGCGAACGGGTCATTCATCAGTCATGAAATCTGCAATTCCGTTTGAAAATACACAATGGGGTGACCGTAACGTCGCAAAAAGCGTCTGTGCTTTATTCCGATAATCTTCGCCTTCGTGTATAATCCAAGATTACCGTAAAAGAAGATAACGATGAAGTTTATTGCGGAAGACTATATCAGCGTTACCGGTGTATGTATTCGTAATTACGCGACTGCCGCACCCTACGCGTACCGCATGTATGTATTATAGATACGTATATGCACACACGCGCATGCCACCTCGCTTTATCTAATCGCGGGCGTGCGTGTATAGGTGCCATCAGACAATGCGGCACCGTCGACGGCGGCGGCAGCGGCGCGGACGGACGGACGGACGGGGCTCGAGAGAGTCTCCTTCAATTTTTACATAATGCCTCCCCGAGCCTGCCTGATTTATCGACGATGTCGACCGGTACTCCCGCTCCCCGCGCATTGAATAATTGTCGCTATTAATAACTGCGAATTCAATTCTCCGGTTCAATATCTGCCGAGACGGCGTTCGGAAGACGGCCGGGGGCCGCGCCTCCCTCCCTCTTTCTCGCGCGCTCATTTAATCGCGCGCCTTGCCTCGGGAATAAACGCGTATACGCGAGAGACGGTACACTCTAAAATCCATAAACCGGCGTCTCCCCTCGAGGGCCGATAGCGCGCCCGATCGGCGATAAGAGACTTATTACCCGTCGTAAATTACAACCGGTTCCTTATCTCGGCCGCGTGGCGTTGCAAATTATCGGCTTTGTATCGGGAGATCAGCAGTCGGAAAGCGCAGGCGAGAGAGATCGATCGGCGATCCCGGGACGTGCACATGTATTCATTTGGGTCGATTGTCGCGGGACGAAAAGAGGAGCGCACTCGACGTCGAGCGCGAGCCTCGATGCCCGTAGATACTCGCACAATCGCTTATCGATAATCCTTTTAAATATCAATTTCTAAAACTCGCCCCTTCCACCTTGCAATATTATTTCAATAGCGCGCAGAGATCAAAGTGCGCGACACGTTATCGAGCGGAATCGGTAAGCGCTTTCCCCCGAGATTTGTAATTACGATACGGATAATCCCGCATTAATTGAACTCATCGCGATGCAATTGCCAATATTTCTTACTTGGCTCTTAATGGCCCATAAATAAAGACGCGTCAAATAATATTCCGCACTGCGATACAACCTGACTTATCTCGCACGGGATCGGGAGCGACCAACTAAGCGGAGCTCGAACCGGCAAATAAAGCCCCATTCTACGCGCATCGATGCGAATACGTATGCGATAGCGATAGAGTTTCACACCCGATCGGGATGGCAGAGATAATTCTCCGGCCGGGTTTACCCGAAGGTGTCAGATAAGTGAAGGCGGAGTTTATCGGCGCGACGAGAGAGCGGGAGGGACCGACGACGATTCCGCTCCGCGCGAACGCGCTCGTTACGCGCGAGTACGAAAACTCGATTATGCAACGGTTCGTTACCTTGATACTGTCGTAGCAGGCGGTCACCCGTCCGTTCTGCACCTCGACGTTAGCCGGCGGATGGGCGAACTTGCACTCCGTGTCGGGCCTGGTGCACTTGTTGCGCTGGAACTCCCTGCAAACCTCCAGTTGCAGCCACCGCGAGTCCTTGCCGTTCAGTAGGTTATTCATGCTGACCATTGCCATTCTTCCACTCCTGGAAGATCGAGAGTCCCCGTCCGTAGGCCTCTACCGTAAGGGAGTAGTAATCTCTCCCTTTTCTCTCTCTCTCTCTTCCTCTTTTCTCTCCCGGTCTGCCGTTCTAAACTCTTCCTCGTGATGATCGGCTGCCGTTCCCCGGTCGCGTGCACTCGCGTCGATCTTGCCAAGGATATAGACGTTTCGGTTTTATGGAGTACGACCACCTCGCGACACGAACTCGTCGGCACTTGTTCACGGGATTTCGCGACGTTCGGTACTGAACCCTTTCGTTCCACCACTTTCGCGTCTCGTCAGCCTCTCTCACCACTCGCTCACCCCTTCCTCTCTCTCTTTCTCTCCCCCCTCTCTCTCTCACACACACAGACACGCACCTTCTCCTACCACTCACTCACTCAGGCACACGCACGCACACACTGTACGCGAAATCCCGCGAGTGCCTCGGAGTCATGCAACTACTTGAGATTGTATACCTTACGGCAGAAGATCTCTCGTTTAAGCGCGATGCGATGATCTTAGTGTCCCATGTACGCGATGACCCGCGGCTGTCTTCCTGCGCGTAGATCTTCCGCGTGGATAATCACAACGCGTCTCGCGACTTCGTTCTTCCTCACCTCGGAGTCGCGTCGGAGAGACTCGCGTTTATCAGCAACGTCGGCTTATTGTGGCGGCGTTACTTCTCTCCCGCCTGATATCGGATCCGGTGTCGGGGATCAATCGATTTGGCGAAATTCCACGCTCACGTAGGCCGTTGCGACGGTGACGGTGACGCACGCGTTTCCCGCTCGATAATCTCCGGGAGAGCGTGAAAGCCGAGTGTGTACAGGCGAGGGAGGACAGGCTAGAGAGGTATCTCGCCGGAAAAGGGTGGAGAAGCGAAAAAGGTGAAGCTGTATATCGACACCGATTAGGCGGCCGCTACTCTTGGCTTGGTACGGTAAGGCGGCGCGACGTGGCTCGTCGATCTCGTCTATCGACTCCTCATTCACTCTGTTTCCTCTGTCCTCTCTTGATCTTGCAGCGCGCCGCACTCGAGAAGCTGCAGCCTGGGCGTAGTAGTAGTAGTAGTGGAGTAGTAGTAGTAGCGATGGTAGTGGTAGTAATAGTAGTAGCCGGGCAAAGCTTGAAAGCCTTCGAAGCTAAACGTCGACCAAGAAGAGCGTGCTCTCTGGACGCGCGCGCTTTTGCACGAGGATCTCCCTTCCTTTATGCACACACAGGCAGTTGGCCGGCGCTGAGGGTGTACCGGGAGCGCACGTGTGTTGCGCGTGTACGTGTATGCGCGTCTGCGTGTCTCGAAAAGCCGGTCGTGGCCGTCCTTCAAGCCGGTTTCAAACCAACGCGCGTGTGTCTCGCGGCGGCGAGTCTACGTCGGGAAGGAGTAGGGCGACTGTGGTAGTCGTAGAGCGGAGGAGCTGGTGCAGGACTGGTGTTCGTTCACCACGGCGGTCCGCCGGTGCTGCCGATCAAGCCGCGGGAGATGGTGGGGGGAGAAAGAAGGGCCGCTCCGTGCGTGGAAAGGTGGAGGAAACCCTTACGCGCCGTTCTGCCGGGATCGGGAGGAACGGCGACGCGCGAGTCGGTTATTTCGAAATTCCGCGGGCAGGATGCGATGACGGGGGAGGAAGAAGCTGTGCGAGGAGAGTGGTGACGGGGACGACGGATCGAGGCGGCGGAGTAAGGGGGTGGTGTTGTAAGCACGTGAAAACGGCCAACGACAAAGCGGGCGTACGGACGACAAGAGAGGGCAAAGGTCCGGCAGCCGGGTCGCGCCTGAGGTTCTCCGGGTCGTGTCGGGGTCGGACCCGAACAGAAGAGGGAGGGGGGAGAGGCGCGGAAACGGCGAGACAGAACAAGAGGGGGAAGGGGGTTCCCGGGGAGCAGGGCGGGACGGGGGGGGCCGGGGGGGAGGGGAAGGAGAGGATTGCGAGTTAGCGAGTGACGTTGCGCTTCCGTTCCTCGGATTTACGTCATTTATTCGGCGCGCTGCTGGCTCCTCCCGCGCGGTCCAACTCCTCCGGTTCCTGCTGTTCTGGAAACATACCAAAAGCGAAAACTCGCGTTACTGCGGATGCAAAGGCTTAAAATGCTTTCTGTTTCGGGCTTCCTAGGCGGTCGGGGATGAGGGGATGAGCGGCAATCGGGAGGGGGGGGGGGGCGCAGAGGGTTAAGCGCAAGCCGCGAACAGACAGACAGATGGAGTCGGAAAAGCGCAGGGCTACGCAATGCACAAGCACGCTCGAGCACAAACGACAGACGTTATCAATGTCGGGATTGCGGACGGGTCGCGACTTCCGCGAATCCGCTAGAAAAATCGACGTCCGTCGGTAACGCGCAGATGAAGCGCGTACTCGCACGCCCGACGATTCGCCAAATCTGAACGGTGCAACTCCCTGCGGCCCGCGATTTGCGAGAATTCCTTATAAACGAGACGTTAGCTCCGCGACGTCGACGCTCGTCGAGGGTATAGCGAGAGTGTTCGATCCTTCGTGGTCACACTGAGGTCACTTTGACCCCAGCAAAAGTTTAAGGCTGAATTACAGAGGTGAAAATAATCGTATATACAGGGGGTGTTATGCAATACCCGCCTCACCCCTTATTTATGAATAGAGCGGACTAGACTGAGTCGAAAAGTCCTTTACCATTGCACAATTTTCGCAATAGTTATCGAGTTATTAATTATTAAAACCCTCTGTCTTAGCTCGGCCTACCGACCAATTCAAGCTCGAGATGCGGCTGTCCAGCGATTGGCGTTGCTAGGCGCGCGGGAAATTATTTATGACCATGGAGTCTGTATAAAGAGACCGAACTCCCGTGATCAGAGTGGGCCGACATTTTCGAGAAATATTCGTTTCGAAAAGAATCACTGGGAGTGCTGTCAATGGACAACTCGATTCGCATTCGTGCGTGTCACATGGTTGTCATACGCATGAAGCGTTCGTGAGAGTCGAGAGAGAGACAGAGAGATGAGGAGAGGTGGATTGTGTATCTCTGAAACTTGTGAAAATTACAAAAGTGAGCCAATTCACAGGTTGAAATTATAAATATTCTGGTATTCACTCACTTTTGTAATTTTCGTAAGTTCCAGAAATCAACCCCCGAGATAACAACAGTTATACGCTGTATCTACGAGCCAGTGAGATCAAGATCGGTAAACTCATGGGGGAATCCTTAATCTGTTTGTGCGACGCCAGGGCTCTAAGTGGCTAAATGTTTTCTTCAATATTTTGCAATAATGTCAGCCCATGTTTGGTGACGTAATCAAGCCTAGTACGATCTCCTTATACAGACTCCATGGTTTATGACACACGGCAACGGCTACGTATAATAAACAACTCCCCGCGCGCCTAGCAACGCCAATCGCGGGACAGCCGTAAGATTGAATTAGGCGGTAGGCCGGGCTAAGACAGCGATTTCTAATAATTAATAACTCGTTAACCATTGCGAAAATTGCAAAATGGTAAAGGACTTTTCGACTCAGTCTAGTCCGCTCTATCCGCATATAAGAGGTGAGGCGGATATTACAGAACACTCTGTAGACACATATTTCTCATTTTCCTCTAAAACTACCCTATTCATTGCTCCTAAATGATTACCGAAGTGACCACGAAGGGTTAAATCGTGCGTCTTTGCGAATATACTGTAATTTATGGAACAAAGGAGATGGTTGATCCAGATGTAAAGAGGGTAGCTAGTTCAATTGAACCGTAGACAGTAAAAAGAAATCAAAGCGCGGGTAACCCTGACCGAACCCCGCGTGAACAGCGGTCGCGCGTCGGGAGTGAACGGGAAAAAAATGCCGCATAATTTAATAATTCTACCTGCGAAGACTCACGCAACGTGCCATAACTCTTCGCGATCTCCCGCGTACATTAGCCGGAGAAAAACTGTGTTTGCTTACGTGCAGCATAAACATCCGGGGCGCGGCGCGTTCCGGACGGGGGTGGACGAGGGTGAGAAGAGAACGGGGAAGGTCGTGTATTTTATGCGCGATGACGTAGAGACAGTTAAGGCGAAGAAAAAGGCGCGCGCGCGCGCGCGGCTAGGACTGTACGTAGTACAATTTTCCGTCGCGCAAGTAAGCCGCTTACGAAAAGCGGAGCTCGGAGTCGCCGTTTCTCATGTTACCTGGCGCGAGTTACGGCGACGTATGTGTGCGCGTCCGGTGCGCGCACACATCGGCAAGCACGCACGACCGGTGCCGCGCGGCGGAGAAAAACGTCTCGTGCGCTCGATCGTTTGTTCTCGCCGGGATTCCGCGAGTCCGCCGAGAATCACTCGAGTAACGCGAACGCAACGGCACCGCGAGGCCTCGCCGTCACAGACTGTCAAACGCGACAGCTGTCACGTACCCGCGCGTACTCGTAAATCAATTCCTCAAACAGGAAATACGCGTGGATATTAATCTATACCAATCTACTTCTTCGCTCGTTGAGAGCTAATTTATTAAATCTCGGGATGAAATCGCATTAACCGCCAATGCCAACTCACGTCCTATTATGGCGCCCGATCTTAATTTTCAATAGAGCGGACTCTATTTAGAATCGAGATTTGCTCAGAAAAGTCCCGCGCGAGAGAGTCACGAGAGAGAGAAAGACATTCTGCTTGTTACTTTACAGAATAAAAATTGAACGGAGTTAGGTACGTCGATCGAATGCAAAAACACGAATGCATCAAATGCCCAGAAAAATGTTCGTCGACACGAAAAATGTTATATCATGAGCAGATCTACAACACTTTTTGCTAGATTCCAATATTGCTGTTGTTCTGGGCATGTTTAGAAATGTTTGTCTATCCGGTAACAATCCTAGTGGACAAATAAGTTGCGACCCCGACAATCCGATAAATTGGAATCAGCTGCTCTTATAATCAACAGAACATGTTTTATAGAACCAGGGAGCAGATTTGAAAAAAATATTACGAATAAGCTTACATGTGAAATACGTGATAAATTGTCGTGTCTATAAAAGAAATGTATCAATGCAGCTTTAACCTTTATCCGAGCAAATAGACTCTTTTTAGTTTTATGAAGCAAAAGGATTTATTTTGTTCACGTGCTTTATATGCGTGTACGCGTGCGTACGTGACGTCTGAAATATTTCAATTTTCATTTACCGACAGTCTTTATTAATCCGGAATTTTATAACTTCAGTACACCATTAAGTGCAAATCAGTTTATTGTTCTCGTACACATCAATATGTATTTTTTTATGGTTATTTCGCACATTTTTTTCGCGGGTGAGAATTACATTCCCGGAAAAAAAGAATTACATTCTGATAAAAATTTACAAGATAATATTGTCTTTTAAATTGGACTACTTCAGTAAATCCAACATTACGACATTAATATGAAACGAAAATAAGCGTTAATACGGTAGTATACACAATATTATATTTTAAAACCGAGCTATGTACGTTAAAATTCACGGGGGTAACCACTAGCTAAAATGTTGTCCCACCGATTACACGATTTCATCTGATTACAAATAATCTCATCTAATTGCAAATAATGTTTTATATACCCGTTTAATAATATGTAACGTTGTTAAACCTCAAAGAGCTGTTAGACTTCATCAAAATATATTTTTCTTATTTTACTATGAAGTATTTGCTGGTAGACGTAATTCCAGTTAAGATTCTAGTAGTATTCGGTCACGTGTTTCCATTTTTCCCACTTCTCCCACTAGTCTAACCGTGGTCTTAACGAAAAGTAATTTTGTATTAACGAATACACCAAGTGATTACCCCCTTGTTAAAATTCATAAACGTTGGCGAAATATACGGCACGTAGAACTTGATTTGACATACCGTCGTAGCGTTAAATTACTCGAGGGAAAATCGCTTCGGCGAAGAAAAACATTATTCGGATAAGGGTTAATGTGTCTCCGGTGAATCAGCTCGCGCGTGTTGCTAATACGGAACGAATCGTTGGCGATACCGCCGCGGCGCCGACGTGAAATTTTGATCGGGAAAAACGAGAGGCCCGGCTTTATCAATAATTATTACGCAGAGAGCTGGGCAGGCAGGCACGACTAACGTTCAGATATTTCTCTTTCTCTAGTGACTCGCGTGCTCGAGAGCCTCCGTCTCTTTCTCTCTCCCTCTCTCTCTCTCTCTCTCTCTCGTTCTCTCGTTCTGCCGGTCGAATCGATATACGTGCACGAATGCGGCTTCGAGCTTCGTCCACTTCTTCTTTCACGTGACTACCGCAGGAAAGAGGGCCGGCCGAATCAATATCTCACACAGACGTTTCGACCTCGTCCTCGTCGCTGTCGCCGCGAGCTCCTCGTACCCTTCGAAGGTCGTTCTCATCGCCCGAGTCGAAATCCGTCGGCGCAAAACGAATATCCGAATCCCTAATTAATCGGCCTTTTTATCCCGATCTGCCGCGCGCACGTGTGAGAGCACGTGTACCGAACATGAAGCGCGCGCGCGCACGCACGCACGCACGTCCAATTGCACCGTGTTGAATGTACGAGTCGACACTTTTCGTGCGTTTATTAAGTCGTAGCCCTGGTAAAGCACTTGACACTTTAATTTCGAGCATCGTTAAAAAATTGCGGCGTGCAATTGCGGAACTCTGCTTGCACGACGCAAGTCAAATAGAGTATTGACGGTTCCCGAGAGATAACACGTTATCCCGCCGGACAACCTTGAGATTTTTCTGTTCCGCCATTTCCGTTTGATGAGAATTTAATATCCTTTACCTCTTGTGGTTTTACAACTTTCAAAGTCTAATAATCTCGGTATTAGTCTCGCACGGGCGTAAAAATTCCGATACAAAACCTATCCAGCTTAATTAAAACGAGATGTCGTGAAATTACGCTTTTAAT